AACTGTACTTTTGAGTTAAAATATATATTTATAATTTTAATAAATGACAAATTAAAAATGCATGAACATTTTTTTTGTATCGAAAAAATATCGAACCGTGACACCAAAGTATCGAACCGAACCGTGAATTTTGTGTATCGTTGCACCCCTAGTATCTATGCAATTCACTTTCTCTTAAATTACTTTTAAGCATAACCTAGCTAACACAAGCAATACAACCGCCCCCCCCACCCCCCAAAACATACAAGCAAGCAAACAAACAAACAAACAAACAAAAAAAACCCAGTAACATTGAGGGAAATCTGTTGTGTTCACTTTTGGCCTCCAAATATTGTCATTGTCTCTTATTTTGGCATTGATGTCATCATTGATGACTTTGGTAGCAAGGATCTATATAGAAGACATGCACCAGTCCAGTTTTGCACTGGATAACAGTTTGTCCCTAAAATTAGAGAGCCATCATAGCACAAAGGGAGCAAACAGCAAACGTTCAGTAGTTTGTAGCTGCAGTTTTACCAACTAATTTTCTTTTGAGGTTTGCAAAGGTTTTCAAAAAATCGTCATTGGTTTTCATTCGTGACAATGCTTTCTCTCACTGTTGCTGTTGTTTAATGTAAGAATTGTTGGGACGCTTTTACTGCACTTCTCGGAACATAGGCTGTTGCATATGTGAAAAGTTTGTAAAAAGTACTTGCATAATGATCAGGTACAAGGTCTGTGCAGATAGTGTACGGATTAATTAAATTATTCCACGGTGCAAAATGATTTTACAGTGACACTAAAGTCACTGAAAGTGCAGAGAGCTTATATAACCAGTTAAATTAAGTGCAAGCAGACAACAGAGCATCAATTATGGTACTCAACTTTAGTCCCTTATCTGCTGTAATTCAAGATGAGCGGAGGAGTCTAATCGTGTCCTCTGAGGAGACAGAAGATCATCATAAGCTGCTCTATGCCACCAACCTGCCACTGAGCATGCTCCTTTGGTTTATTGCGATCATGTTTAGGGGGTAGGAGGATGTGTTCATGACAATGGCAGTTTGCACCGGTTGAGGTCCATCTGTGTGCTGTCATTACCAGAAAGTCAACAGCAGATCCAGCTTCCTTCACCAACTTTCCAAGCCATACGTCGTCTCTCTTCTGAATGCTGCCTACCCAGCACAGCACTGCAACTTGTGGACTGGACTTGGAGATCGTCATAATAAAAAACCACACCCGTGTAGCAACATTTGTGTGCATATGTTAGTTCGACCTTAATGGGTACTAATCATGGGTCTTGTTAGAAACATCTAGATGTTGGACGACTGTTCTGTGTCTCTATCCACAGATCAGGGACATGCAAAAGATAGAGGAGGATAAGATAAGCTGCTTTGGAAGATCTATTAACCTTATTCTTCTAAGATTAACACCTCCTTTCTATTTTGTTGTTGTTGTCTCCTGTGTCTCTATTGTTAAAATCTCATGTTTTCTCTGTTTCTCTGTTTTTGATGCTTTTGTTTCCACCTTTCCTTCTTACTAGTGAAGACCTGAAGATGATACTAACAGAATGAATCCGTATGAATGAATGATCTTCGGGAAGCAGAGTCTGCAAATTAAGAAAAGGCCTCCCGGACAATGGATTTCATCTTTCCAAGATTCTGAGGCCCAGTACAACTGATTAACCTTTATTCTTTGTTTTCTTTATTTTTAACTTTCCAGCTTTTCCATTGTCATTGAAGCGTTACGCCCCTTCTCCTGCACCAGGGCCCCAACAGAGCCCCCTACTGGGTGGGCTCCCAGGGAGCTTTTTACTGATCGGACAGCAAGCTGCATGCTTGCGGCTGGCTCAGCTGAAAACCCACCTTGCGTTGACACAGATAAATAACGCTATTGCTGTTGATGGTCGAACCAACACACCTGCCCCATTTATACCCACAACACCCCCCTGCCCGACAGCTGCAGCCATCAGTCTACTAAACCTTCTGAAGGTTGCTAACACCATGTCCCATCCCTCATATAACCCCTATGCCTCTGGGAATCAAAGTTCAGCCCAGGGGCGCTATGGACAGTCCAGTATGCAGGCAGAGAGAGACTCTCATAAGACATCTCCTCATCTTGGGCCTGGGTCCAGCTTTAGCTCTTCTGGAGTTTCATCTGCGACTCCTGCAAAATCTGGGGGAATAATGAGCTACAGGCCAGAAGGGAGTAAGACTTCAATGGAAGAGGACATAAAGAGGTCCATAGACATGCATATAAGCAGAGCCAGAGAGGAGGTGAGAAATCAGCCTGTAAAAAAGAACAGTTGTTTTACCAGCACTCAAAGAGATGAGTATGATTCTTCAGGCAAAGATGTGACTTCCTACATGTTGTCCTCAAACTCTCAAAGACCTCCTGATGTTGCAAGTAGCACTAACTCCATGGACTGGTTGCCAAGCTACAAACGGGAAACTGAGGATGATTCGTCTAAATACTGTTCATCATCTGCTTCATTGAGCTATCTAAGCACTGGTGACGGTAGGTTTAATGCCTCGAATGAAAGAGAGCGCAATGTGCAATCCATTCCAGGCTTAGGTGATTATGACTACCCAGTGCCAGGCAAACCTGTGGGTTCTGCAGAGTCTACTCGTCCCAAGTACACTTCAGAAACAGCTGTGAACATCCTTATGCAGTTTGGACTTGAAAAAGAGGACCTGGAACATCTGATCTCATATCCCGAAGATCAGATGACTCCTGACAACCTGCCTTTTATCTTACGACAAATCCGCATGGAAAAGGCAAAGAGATCTGCAACAGCAGGTCCATCAAAATCCTACTATGATCCTCATTCCACCACAAGTATGAGTGGAAGGGAAAGGTTGAGTACTTCAAGAGGGGAAGGGATGCGTCAGGATGAATTGTCACCTATTGTCCAACCAAGTAAAGTGATTGATTATGGACATACTGGAAAATATACTGGGAGCTTTGGGGATGAAATTGGAAGAAGCAGCAGTGGAGCCAGTAGTGGTGGAAGTGGAGGTACGCTGCTGATGGGCTCCTATGATAGTAGCGGTCACAGTCGAGAACCACTGCAAAAAAGTATGACAGAGGTGAAAAACAGCACCTTGGTTTCTTCCCGTGATCAAGGCAGCTCTTTTACCAGTCATGGCTCAATGCGAAGCAGCGATCCAGCTCAACAACTGCACACCCAACCGAACCAGTCATCTCAAGAAATCTTCAAAGGTTTCTCTCTGCCAAAGACAGACACAGACATAAGACCTCTTAAAGCAGAAGTCACTAAAGCCCTTCCGTTGAAAAATCCAGAGCCAGATTGCCATTCAGCATCAAAAAGCCAACTAACTCCTAATATAGTTCGTAGTGTGCATCCAAGCCGACCTGGCCTTGTACTCATTGGCAGCAGCAGCAGCGACAGTCACATCAAAGAAAAGAGTAAGACTCACGGGCAAGTATTAAATGTTTCTGAGCAGATGAACAAACAGCAAATGCAGCAGAAGCAGGTACAACAGCAACAGGTGAAACAGACAATGCAACAACCACCACCAAAGCAGCAGCAGCAGACGCAACAACTGAAGCAGCAGCAGACGCAACAGCAACAACTGAAGCAGATGCAACAACTGAAGCAGCAGCAGACGCAACAGCAACAACTGAAGCAGACGCAACAGCAACAACTGAAGCAGAC